TTTTGATTGTACTAGAGAAAAAGAAAATAAATTATAGTCGTCAAACAGTAAATATTTTATGTGATAATTTAATAATAGACATTCATTTATTCGACGCCATTTTTTTACAAAAAAGAAAGAAGTGTGACATTGATCCTAAAAATAAGTGTACTTTTTATAAGTGAACTTTTTCTTTTATTATTAGATGTCTTTCTCAAGTATAGGTTTGTTAAAAGAAAATGAAAATTACATATTATATGTGTTTCTATTTAGTCAGTTATTTCTCCAAGATAATTGTGATTAATAATCAAAGAAATAAATATAATATCTCTTGATGAGTATAATTTTGAATAAGAATATTAAAAAAAAAAACATATTTTTGTCAAAAAGTATTCGATAATTTCATAATTAATTGTTTTTTAGTTCAAGTTACAAAATTTAACAAAATGATTGTCAAACATAAAAATAAAATTTTTTTTTTTTTTAATTTTAAAATACTAAGAGGAAAAGGATTGGCACAGAAAATTAAAATTTCTCTTTTGAATTAATGGTAACATGACTTTCATCTAGAGAAAATATTTTAGTAAACATTCTTTCTGCTTTGCTGTTTAGATATTACAAGAGATTCTTGGATATAATAAAGATTTTGAACAATAATATGAAATCTGCTCTATTGTTTTTATTATTACTTAATGTAAAACCTATCAGACAGCAATGAACTTAAGAAAAACAGAAAGTACCAAAATTGATTGGTTTTTTCTTCATTAATTCTAAACAAACTTCTACAAATAATAATAATGCATCTTTTCCATAAGTGGATCCAGTAGAACATCTTGTTATTGTTTCTTCTATGACATTCGTTTTAGTTATTTCTTACCTTTGATTTCAACCAATTGAATACATGTTGAATATTTCCATGTATTTCCATATGGGAAATTAATAATTGAACATGTAAAATTTTGTTCATTAAATTCTTTTGAAAGAGTTATTGTAGTATTTATTCGTACACGTATACGCCAATTTGTTTGTAAAAGACATAATGAATTCGATAATAAAATAGTAGAAAGGTCATCATAAAGACAATCAATAGTTTCATTTGAATGAATTATTTGATGATTTAAATTAAATTGTAATATTGATTTTGGATAAGAATATATTTCACATAAAATATTTATACGTTGTGTATCATAAAACCAAAATATGGATTGATCTTTCATAGAAATATCATTTATATTTAATGAAAATGAAAATGGAGAAACTAAAACATAAAAAAAAAAAGAAATAAAATATTTCTTATTAGATATTCTAACCATAAATATTTAAATAAAAAATCATTATTTCAAATATATTTGTTTTAGTATTATATATAACACATTGAATATTTTCAAATGCACTATTTATCCATTGACGGACCTTAAACAACAAACAACCAACATTTATAATATCGGATGGTCAGTCACTAATGAATATTCTTAGTATTTTGACTATAAATTTTTATCTTATAAGTTCTTAGACCTGATTATTTTTCTAGAAGGGAGCACGATCAAGTTCTATGAGCACACTGAAGTGTGATCATTGTTGTCATGCAGTAGAAAAGCTCGTTCAACTCTATTCGAATATGAATATATCGAACATTCTGAAAAATCTGGTTGAAAATTATTCAAACCCGCTATTGTTTTTAGTTTTTGGCTCACTGAATTTTAAAAGTTAAACTAACTTTTATATGGGAGTTACTTCACACCGAAATGAATCAGGAAGTCAAGTTCAAAAGATGCTATTTTAGCTTAACCATCCAATGTTGTTCAGACGCTCTGGATTCATAGATTGGAAGAATTGAATGTTTCTTGGAATATCGCAAAGAAGAAAGAATCGATGCAAGCTACGAAAATTGCTTTCGTATGTAATACCAAGGAAAAACAATTTGATTTTTTCTATGTTAGAAATTATTATAACGCCTTCAGGATACAAAATCATTGACTGGAAGTGATATTTCTATTGATCTTCTTGACTTTCAATAATTGTCAATGTTGACAGTGATTGCTCTTGATTTTCCTTTATTTATAAGCATTCATGATGAACAAACAAAAACTAATGTATATTCTGTCTTCTTTTTATTACTGAGTTCAAAAAAGTATTCGAGCAGAAAGACTTTGTCAAATTAAAGAATTGTCTCGCTTCTATGTATTGAATATTCTTCGTTCAATTTTTCTCCGGAACGATTCATAGAAATAAATGTTCTTAGAGACTTGAATAGCGTATCTTCGGAAAAAACAATTAGGTTTAGGAGAGGAAAAGAAAAAAGTTAGAGCCAATATACTGAGAGATTTATTATTTTTGAGGCATCCGATATATAATTTCAAATAATATAAAGTTCTGAATACATTAAAAAAGATCATTGTATGCATATTATTTTCAAACATAACATCTCTTGGTTTATCTTCATTTTCATTTTGTTGTAGAAATTTATGTCGAAAATTTGAATTTGTATAATAATATCTAATTTATAAGATAAATTTTAAAATAAATTAACAAAAAAGAAATCTTTTATCATTCTACCGATAAATATTATCATGACGTAAACCAATACGCCATGCAGCTAATATATTTTGTTCGATTAGACAATCAAATTTAACTGTTCCATATTCTTCTATATGAAAACTTTTATTTGATACAATACGTGAAGTTTGTAGCATCATAATAATACTAAGTTGAGTTATACATAGAAGAATGAATATAAATAAGAAATTAATCATTGATACTATAACAATAAATATATAATATGAGATTTAATATCAGTTCGAGAAAATATCTACCTGGTTTCATTTTAATCTTCTCATTTTACATAATAACATACACATACGAGAAACAAAAAAAAACACATCGTATCATACATTCTTTTATTTTTCTTGCTACAACAAATCGAAAANAACAACAATAGATTTTCGAAAAAAAAATGACAAATATTAAATACACAGTCAAGAAAAAAACAACAGCTGAAGATAGTGATGAGAATCAGTAATACTCGACGAACGTACCGATAGAATGAAAGTGCATGAAGAGAACATGTGTATATATAAATAGGGCATTAGCAGAACGTAAAGGGAAACTTTCATATGATTCACGTCTCTTTCGCAATAACATTGACGTGTGGCGTAACAGTGTCAAAGCAACAGAAGGGAAAAAGCTCGAGTCATCTTTCAGCTCGTTCTTTCGTTTCATTTGAATCTCACAGATTAGTTGAAGCTTCGACCAATCTCACAAGAGCTGTAATACTGAGACGCTACATGACGATTAATACTAAACACCAGTGTATTACAACCCTTAGATCTGGTGTCATAATGAACAAGCAAGGCCGACAAAATCAGTTATTTGAAAAATCCCATAACACACGAAATTATTTAATCGACCTGTTAATTTTTACATCCGGTTAATTCTGATATTGAAAACGTTCGGGAGAGGGAAAGCTGTGATAAATGTTTATTGTTCCTTCTTTTCCTAACAATGACTTTTCTAACGCTTCCAAGTATTTCTCAACTCTTGGGTTTATTCCAACTGTTGGCACATATTCTATATCTTAATTTTCTTGGATAAATGAGTCTATGATTATGTAAAAAAAATGATGAAAAAGCTGTTATCTATGGTAATCGTCTAAGTGTTATGACGCTCCTCATAATTGATGCCAACTATTACAGTAAAAATAAGCGCAGAATAAAATAGTAATTCGAACTCACAATGCAAGCTACTCTATTTTTTTCTTTCTTCCCTCAGGCAAAAATGGTACAATAATATGTACTCTGCAGTGACAATCAGCGCACACTTGCGTGATTCTGCATAATTTATCCAAATAAAAGAAAGAATAAAAGCGAATTTTACAATCTGTTAGTGACAAGATATATGATTTCATTGTTCTCTTTCTTCTATAATCATATCGGTGATTCATAACACAATATGAGCTTTCTCTCGATGCAATTTCAGTCCTGTTCTATCGTTGGTATTGGGTATTTATGTTAGTTTAAATGCTACTATGCCATGGGAAAAGCGTACGTAACCAAAGGCATCCGGAATAGTTGGAAACTGAAAAATCGGATAACATTTTAATAGACAAGAGATGCATACTGAGTGAAGCTATGGGCCTTCCACTCATTCACACTGACACTTCACACTCATACTTCGCAAACGTCCGTAGCATTAACATCTATATATAAGTGGTTCTTGGTATTGATTGAAGATAATGAAAGCAAAAAAAATTGTTCAAGGCAAAAATTATTTTTTCTTTTCTCCTGACTTCTAATCTGCCTAGATGTCATTGTAATCATCTAGCAATGCTTCTATAAGCTCGTTTCATGATTGGTCGCTTATAATGGTCTCTTTGATATTAAATTTGTTGTCTTGTTGTCAGTTTTTCTAATGGCGGGTGTACACAGTGGAAACTAAATATTCTGAACAACTGTTGCTCCCAAAATACACTCTGCTGTACACTTCGTAGAAAAGCTTTATACTCGCCTTCTCATATGTTGTAAACTATTGTCAATTTCCAAAAATATTTTAACTACGTGTAGAGCGTGATCTATCAGATAAAAACTGCTTTTATGTTTATTCAAACGATTTCAACATTGTTTTATTTTTTCATTTCTTTACGTTTTATGAAGCTTCGCTGTTGTATCCTTTAATACATTTTGTGTATGGAAACAAGATGTACATGTACATCTTATTTTAGATTTCCATTAGAAACATTGATTGCTATTAAATTGAGTCATAATATATATATATATATATGCGTATTTGTTTAGTTTAGACAGGAATGAGTTGGTGTTTTTAGTTCTAAGAATTGTTTTTTCTTTTTTAATTTATAATTCATTTTTTTGTCCTTGTTATGAATCAATGTGACACTGCAGGTGGTTTGATTATTTATTTAAATTGAAAAATGAAACTTTTATTTTATTTCTTTTTGGGAGGGGTTTGATTTTTACCAAGCACAATGATGATTTATATTTAAATGTCAAAATAGAATAGTCAATAATATGGCTACAACGGAAAATAATTTTGTGCAACGTAGACGTCTATTAGAAGAGCACCTTGTTGATCCACATTCATCGATTTCAATAGATAGTTTACTTGATTCAGTTATTGCTTTTATTTATGATTGTGAAGGTCTCAAAAAAACAAAAAACTTCGATGGATTTTATGGAAAATGTAAGAGAAAAATATATATATATATATATATCTTTGATTGAATTAATATTTATTTATAATTCTAGTTCATGAATCTACACGAGAAATTCGTAATCAGCGTGTCAATATTGATGATTTTGAAACAATTAAAATTATTGGTCGAGGTGCTTTTGGTACAATTGATCTGGTACGACGAAAAGCAACTGGACAAGTTTATGCTATGAAAACATTGAATAAATTTGAAATGGTAACAAAAAAAAAACAAACAATGAAAATTTTAATTAGTAAAAACAGAAATTTTATTTCCGACGTAGGTAAAAAAATATGATAGTGCTTTATTTTGGGAAGAACGAAGTATTATGGCTTTTTCAAATAGTGATTGGATTGTTAAACTTCATTATGCATTTCAAGATGTTAGCAGTGTAAGTTTTTCATCGATTATGAGAGTTGTTCTTATCACGATAATGAATATATATATATGCATAAACCGAATCTAAACATTCGGATACAGTTTTGACTGCAGCTGTTTTTAGTTAATTATTGAATGGAAGTAATAGTAACTCAAAAGAAAAAAAAAATTTCAAGATTACCTATATTAGATCCTACATACAGAGATAAAGTGATCCAAAAACTGAAGAACCAATATAAAGGTTGATGATGTTTTGAAATGCTTGAGTAATCATCGAAATACACAGAGTTGGTTGAATAGATGTAGAACTAGAGTTCATGGTCGGTGCATGTGCCTAAATGCAGGTACAACTGATGATGATGAAAAAAAATTTTAGTATTTGATGTTATCAGTATAAATTGATTGGATTAACGAAAGTTCTAGAGAATGGAAAGAATAACGTAACTACAATTATTTTTTAAAGATTTGAAGATTTCTTATAGATATTGAGAATATGATTGTTTTTCTTTTGAATATCGATTTATTCGAAAATAGGTTTTTTCGAATATTTTGTAATAGATCTAAAGAATATGGTGACATAATAGAAAAGTCAAAACTATTTATAGTCATTTTGTAAAAATATCTCAACAAGATGAATTCTTATACATTGTATGTAAATTAATAGGATTACAATTATTTTTATATAATTTAGCTCTATATGATTATGGATTATATTCCAGGTGGTGACTTTATGACATTACTTGAACGATATGAAATGGATGAAAAGTCTGCACGTTTTTATTGTGCTGAAGTTGTGCTTGCACTTGATGCCATTCATAGTATGGGTTATATTCATCGGTATGAATAAGAATTTTCTTGTTTTTCTTTTATTTCTTTTATTTGTAGAGATGTTAAACCAGATAATATTTTACTTGATGTTTATGGACATATAAAATTAGCAGATTTTGGTACTTGCATTGAAATGGATAAAGTAAACGAACTAAAAAATACTTTTATTTCAAACTATCGAATGGTTTCCGTTTTTCATTTGTTAAAGGATGGTCTTGTTCGATCTAATATTGCAATTGGTACGCCAGATTATATAAGTCCAGAAATATTAAAATCTGTAAGTACATCCGGTGTTTATGGACCAGAAGCGGATTGGTGGTCTGTTGGTGTGTTTCTTTATGAAATGTTACTTGGTAATGTTTTTTTTAAATTTCATATAAATTAGTTTTGTCGTTTCTTTTCTTAGATGAAACACCATTTGATGCTGAATCATTAGTTGGAGTATATCATAAAATAATGAATCATCAAGAAAATCTTATCTTTCCAGAAGAACCAGTTTTATCTAATGCAGCTCGTACACTTATATGTGCATTTCTTAGTGATCAGTAAGAATAATTTTATTGAGAAGAAGAAGCAAAAAAATCGATTATTTATATTTTAGATCAACACGTTTAGGTAAAACTGGTGTCGAAGAAATAAAAGCTCATCCATTTTTTACAAATCAAAATGAATGGACATGGGAAACAATACGACAAGGTAGTTCGAATAAAATATAAATATTCTTTTCTTTTTTGTTTTATATGTATTATGTATATATTTTTTTAGCATCAGCTCCTATCGTTCCATTATTAACAAATGATGAAGATACAAGTAATTTTAAAGATCTTGAAAAAAATGATCATCCTTCAAAAGAATCATTTTCCGTTAGTAAAACATTTATTGGAAATCAACTTTCATTTGTTGGATTTTCATTTTCCAATGAAGCACAGTAAGATATTTTATAATAATGAAATCATTTAAGACTCTAAAAAGATTTATTATATTTAATTAGAAGCGTTTTTTTCTTGTTTTGATCGTATTCTAAAAGTCATCAGCATTAATTCAGTAGATGCGTGAAAAGTTGTATTTTTATGCATAGTGTATGAATTGTTATCTCTCATTACTGTCAGAATTATGATTTGTAAAGTCGTACGGCTAACTAGGAAATTTTCCTAGGTGCCCCCCCCCCCCCAGATTTCAATGAATTTTTGTCTATAGATACTATATAGTATCCTTGTAAAAACCCTAAAAGGATTTTACGGCATAGTTAGATTTCATTAAGCTATCAAATTTTTACTATGCTTATTTTCTAGACATTCCTGTAGAGGACAGCAAATTTTTGAATTTTGACCTGAAACTTTGCACATTTGTAGACCTTAACTATACTAGCTCCCATATAAAAGTTGAGAAGTTTTGAACAAAATCTCTTCAAGAAATGAGAATTTTAAGATGAAAACCCTTTTCCAAACATAGGTTATAGAGCATGGTTTTTTTTCATGGAAGCTCGTATAGTTATGGTCTAGAAATGTGCAAAGTTTCGAGTAAAAATTCGAAGATTCGATTTTTTTCGGAAACTTGGGATACTCTACAGGAATCTCTTGAAAATAGACATATTAAAAATTCAATAG